TTGCTTATCTGGAGAGATTGGGCCTCCCTTCTGAATGCAGATAGCTGGATTATGCAGAAGCCAATGTGCAATTAACCATCATAACAGGACAGGGAACCTAATGGATTCAAGTCAGGACAGTGCTGGCAGGTTATGAAGCTAAGTGATCTGCATTTATGTGGGGTGAACTGTCAATCTACAAGGCCTGTGGGTTGTATTATTGAGTCTCCATGTATAGGGTGCAGTGTGAGCCTACAGGATATTGACTGGCACAGTCTGGCCTGTATGTATAGGACTTTTCTCTAAATGCAGGCCCTCAGGATTTGACCGTATGCACTCAGGGGGATGCAGACTGGGACTCCAGCTTCGTGCCAAAGTAGTTAGCTGCCTATGCACTGCAGTAAGACCCTTATTTCCCCTCCCTTCCATGCTAGGGGCCCATTCCAGCCCTAAGGACTCATCCCTGAGAATGGTCCTTCCATCCCCCAGTACCTCATTAGTTGGGAATTGGTCCTGCTTTGAGCAGGGGGTTGGACTAGATACCTCCTGAGGTCCCTTCCAACCCTGATATTCTATGATTCTATGATTATGCCAGCCCAGGAGAGGCTTATGGCATGCCTCAGCTGCCCATTGGTGCCCCTGCTTTGGGGATAGCAAACACTGAGGCACCGTGCCAGCTGGAGGTTTATAGCGCCCTTGTTAATGTGCTGTCTTTCTCTCTTCAGAGTCTACATTGGGGAGTGCCTGACTCTCACGCCTGTTCTCTCTGACCTGCGAGTTGATGGTCTCTGTAGGGCTGGGGAGTGCATAAACCCTCAGGCAGTGGCTGGAGGAATCAGGTTGTGGGAGGAGGCATAAGGGGTGAGACGGGCACAGCACAGACAGGATGGGAAGGTTGCTCCTGCATATCCCCCTCCCTCCTAGCAGGAGAGCGAGAGCTTCTGGGCACTTTGTCTGCCCCAGCTATAGGGAGGCACTTTCCACTCTGAGCAAAGCTGGGTTGGGAGCCTGGGATTCCACAGACGGCTGGGTCGAGAGGGAAGAGGGCCAGGTGGGTGCTGGGAATCCATCTTGCTTTGCTGTGGGAACAGCTCAGAGGGCAGCACCCCATTTTCTGAGAATATTCAGATTTAACCCACTCCAAACATGGGGCCTGGCTTCCTAACCCAGCCCCTTCTGTGTCTCTTGCATCCGAAGAAGTGGGTTGTAGCCCACGAAAGCTTATGCTCTAATAAATTTGTTAGTCTCTAAGGTGCCACAAGTACTCCTGTTCTTTTTGCGGATACAGACTAACACGGCTGCTACTCTGAAATGTGTCTCTTGGCTCAGCGGGAAGCCGATGTTGTCCTTGCCCCAGGTAGTCTGGTCCCCAGAATGGGAGGGAGGTAGTTATGAAAGCACCTACAGCCCTGTGAATCCACAGCAGCAGAGCGCAGGAATGTCTGGGGCAGTCCAGCGTGGTTGGGGTTCTGCCAGAGCCTGCGCCCAAGGCCAGGCTGTGCTTGGGCCTGAACATCCACCCCCAATATTATTAATCATCTTTGCTACAGTAGTGCCTAAGGACTAAGCAAGCATGGGGCCTGCTGAGCTAGGTGCCAGAACCTGGCAAGCTGCCCTTGCCCCCCTTGTGAATCCTTCTGGTGGCCAGCGCAGTGCAAGGGGGCCATCAGGTGCCTGGTGCAGGCTCCCCAGGCTGAGGCTGTGGAGGGGGCAGCTAGGCACTATGGGTTCCTGAGGTACCAGTCAGAGGCAGGTGTCTATCCCCCTCTTTTATCCAGGGCCTTTCTGCCTGAGGCCATCCCCTCTGTTCCCCCAACAGGGAGCTGACCTGGCCCACAGGTGGAGCCCACACCCATCCCTCTCTTGAATGTCCTTTGCCCTCTGCAGTGCTTTCCCAGGTCTCCCAGCCTGTCACAGCCTCTCCCAGCCCAGTCAGGTCAGGATCATCAACCGCCATTGCACCCATGGGGAGACTGAGGCGCACGGAGGGTGTATGTCTTGACGAACGTCATGCAGCGTGTCTGTGTCAGCGGCACAACTGGGAATAGAACCCAGGTGTCCTGATACCACCGGGTGTCCTGACTCTGTCCTGTGTTATAACCACAAGACCATAATTCTCCTCACCCAGACTCAGAGGAGGATGGGGGATCCTTTCTCCCAGGCTGCATCTGGCTGGGGTGGGGGAGGGAGCCCTGTTTACTCAGAACTGACTCAGGTTGGAGCTGCCGTTTGCACTCAGACTGCCTGATTCACCGTCCAGAAATAGCCCTGTGGAGTGTGCGTGGAGAGCCATGCAGCTCTCCAGCCTGGGGCTGGAGTCTGTGTAATTAGTCTGTCTCTGACTCCCAGCTGGTCACGTGTCTCCCGCGGGGCAGCGGGTTGGCACCCTGCATGGGGTGGTGCTGAATCCAGGTGGGCGAGAGGGTGAAGGTGAATTGCTTCCCTGCGGGAACATCCGACGGACCATGAAAGTGGGTCTGGATCCCTCTGTGAGTATATGGACCTGAGGGGAGGAGGTTATGTGGGGGTGGGGCTAGCAGGAGCAGCTGTGAGCGGGGTGCTGAATCCCTTTGAGCCACGGGGAGCACTTCTCTTGCGGCTGCTGCAGTTCACCCCCTCGGTCTCTAGCCAGGGTCAGTGCAGGTTGGAAAGGCTGCTGCAAGGCTTTTTGTGCACCATTACCCCTGGTTTTCCTTTGTTCCTCTCCCTTTCATTGCTCTGCCCTGACCTTTGCCCCGTTCTCCTCCCTCGCTCTACCTGGGCTGGGAATGCACCTGGAGCAGCGTGGGTGCTTGCGCGGCTGTGCTATGCCAAAACTAAACGCACTCTGCACTGTGGCCTGTCAGTCATTGTCCCAGGACTGGAATAGCAGGGGGCTGCAGGTTTGGACTGAGGGCGCTGGCAGAGCTGTGGGAGGGAGGTCGTCATTGTCCCTCTGATGCTATGTGTGGTGCCTGCTGCTGTACAATCAGTCCCTGATTTTCATCCCTTTCCGAAGGAAAAAGCTGGCAAGGCCCAGTGTCTGCTATCTGGGCTCTTCAGAGACTTCGTCTCAACTTGCAGGGCTGTTTAACGGTTGGCGGCACCTTTGTGGCATGTGACCCGTATCTCTGTGGGTCCATCAGGCCACTGGCTTCCCAGACCAGTTGAGATTGTCTGTGAGACTGAGCTGGTCGGGGCTGTGAGTATGTGTCTGCATATGTGTATGTGCACACACAGCTATTCTTGCTTCCTTAGCAGTCTCCTGCACTGATTCACAGGACAGCACTGGCGTCTGCAAAGCAGGTGGTCACTCATGCGCTCAGGCAGGCGATGGGAGCAGCCTGATGGGAAGGAGTAGAGGCCAAAAACCTTTCGGAATAAATTTCTGGGATTGGGATTGTCAGGCCTTGGGAAGTAGTAACAAGGGGTTGCAGGCACCTGGTGGTGGGATGGGACTGCTTGGGAAAGCACCTCAAGGGGTAGCCCAGTCCCCTGCATACCAGACAAGTGCCATGTGGCTGGAGGTTCCTTGCAGCGTGAACAGGTACCAGTTAGGGACAGAACATGGATTAGTGGTTACAGCAGGGCACTCAGAACCTGGAGTTCTGGGATCAGATCCTCCATGGACCTGGTATGTGGTCACGTTAACCTGTATGAAACAAATGATTCAAACAAACCCTTCCTCGTCCCTCCCTTTCCTGTACATTGGAGTGAGTAATAGCACTGTACTCTGGCCCAGAGCCAGGAGTGTCAGGAAGCAACATCTGGCAGAGGGCGGGGGCAAGAATGTGCTAGGACTGGTTGTGTTGTGTGCACACTGTGTAACTAATGAGCGAGGGGGCCACTCGTTCACCCAGGTAAATCTGGGGAGCTCTGCAGGCTTTTAGATAGACACATGTGTCCTCTCACCTCCCAGGAGTGTGTTAATGAATGGGAACCAAGTCCCTCGGCACCAGGTGGGGATTCGTGGGGCCTTGGAGAGGCCCGGTCCTGCCCCTCATGATCTACAGGGGATTGAACACTTCACTGTGATTAGGAATTGACTGGTCCTGGCAAGTCTGTTTTGTCTCGGTGCTGCTTCTCTTTTGGGGGAGGGGATTGCTTACCTTTTGTAAACAGGGGGTCCCATCTGGGGTGTGATTTGCAGCAGTGTACTAGAGCTTGAGACGCTGCAGGTGACCTTGGACACTGCAGAGAGAGGTGGGAAGGGGATGGGTCCATGCATTCTGCTTCCCGAGGTGACTAGCAGTGTAGATAAATCCCTGCTATGAGAGTATGATTTTTGTCCTGAGAACATCCCCTTAATAATACGGCACCGGCTTCTGCTTGGTTTCCTACTCTGGTGGGAAGCAAATGCTGCCAGACTCCGGGGGCTCAGATCATGGGAGAGAGAGTGCTGTGGAATCAGTGATTCTGGGCTGGAAGCAGACAACAAAAGCCATGGAGGGAGCTGGCAGAAGCAAACCCTTCCTCTGGTTGTTGCAGAAGCAGCTGCCCCAGAAGCAGGTGGGATGCTGTGTCTGGGTTGATTTTCTGGGGGGATTCGAAGAGGATGAGACATTTGTTGGGGTTCCCTTGTTTTCTTTTTCCCCTCCCCAGATGTCCTGGAGCAGCTAGATGAGCTCCATTGAAAGCAGTGGAGGCTGCACCTATATCTCCTTCGATCCCCACTGCAGGGCAAGGCAGGCTGGCTCCACACCCATCCTGTGGAGAGGAGGACTCTGGGTGCCTGCCTCTGGGCTATGTGAAGCTGTGCTGCTGAGCTTTCTCAGTGTCCAAGGCATAAAGCTCAGACTGAGCTTCACCGCTCCAGGTGCCCTTCTGGCCAGCACTGCCTTGATTCAAATCCGAGTCCTGGGAGAAGCCCTGCTCTTGAAACAGCCCCTGGCACCAATAGGCAATTGTCTCAGGTCCCTGGTTCAATTGAAGAAGAGCGTTAGTCTTATTTTGGCTTTAAACCAAACTTAGTTCAGTTTAACTTTAGTTGCTTAGGAATCAGTTTAAACTAAATGGCAGTCGGAGCATCCACACACTGGCCTGCTACAGTTCAACTAAATGGGCTTAACAAACAATTTAAGCTAAACCAGTGCCACTTTCTCACGTACGCCCAGACCCTGCCCCATGACCTTGCAGATGAGCAAAGGGCTGTCTCACTCAACCTGCCTGCTCCTCCCCACAGGGGTCCTCGTCCCATGCAGCATGCTACCCCAAGCTGGTGGGCCAAGACTTGTGATGGGGAGCTGTGTGTTCATCCAGTGGTGGGAAGAACAGGGCCAGTACGCAGGGGATCGAGGGGTGGGGGTCAGTGTTTTAGTCCAACACAAGTATCACTTCAGGGAGTTTGATGTCATAGGGTGATGCAGGGATGGAGTGCAAGAGGGGAAAGCCCCGGACAGTGGGGCCTGGGTTCACATGCCTCCCAGTTCCTGCTCGCTTGGCCCCCCCATATCTGTGTGAGGACCCATCCCAGCAGGCAGCCCACCCACACCTTCCTCCCTGTAACCCCTGCCCAGGAGCGCCAGCGCCTGGAGACCATCCTGAACCTGTGTGCGGAATACACCAGAACTGATGGCACCACAGACACAGGCAACTCACACCAGCACTTCCCGAGTGACGGAGATGCCACCATCAACATCCTGACAGCCAGGAGGCACTCCAAGGGCTCAGCCAGCCTGGCTGCCTTGGGCCTTGGCAAGGCCATAGAGGAGACTGGAGAGGCCACAGGGCCCCAGCAGAGGGAGAGCCTGGAGAAATCAGATGAGGAGAATCTGAAGGAGGAATGTAGCAGCACAGAGAGCACGCACCACGAGGTGAGGGGAGGCAGGGCCCAGTGCGTGGAGAGAACCCACCAGGAGGGATGGGGGGTCAGGGCCTGCCCAGCATGGAGAGCACCCACCAGGAGGTGGGGGGGACCCTGCACGGCGCAGAGCACGTACCACAAAGTGCGTGTGGGCGGGGCCCACAGCACAAGAGAGCACCTGCCCTGAGGTGGAGGGGGTGGAGTATTTTTTTGGGGGGGGGGGGAGAGGGGGCGTGTCCTGCAGGGGACCCTGCTGCAGGGGACTCAGACGTGCTTATGACCCGAGCTGGGCATGGGCAGTGATGAGTTTCTGGGTGTGTCAGAGGAGGGAGTGGCTGTGAGCTCTGGGGCAGGGCTCTCTTTTTGCTGAAGTGATGTGCGCACTCCCTACTCTGTGAATAGCAAATAAGCAGTCCCCCAGTGACATCACCGTTTCTCCCAAGCAGCACGAGGACTCGACAGGCTCCAAGACCAAGGAGGCTGCCCTGCTGGAGGAGGAATGGGTGCGGGTGCTGGGCCACGTGGATGAGCTCAAGAGCCATGTCAAGGAGCTGGAGCAGCAGCTGCAGGAGTCGGCTCATGAGGTGGGGGGGGGAACCCTTTCTACTGCTCCTGGTGTGGGGGAAGGGTGCAGGACACCCACTGGGGCCAAGGTGGAGCCCTGCACTGGACAGGGGTGAAGGGCCCTGGCTGCGGGTTCAGAGTGGAACAGTGCTGGGGTAAGTGCATCCGGCATCCCCAGCCCCACTTCTCTGGAGTTCTGTGGGACTCTGCCTTTAGAGAGCTTTGGCCGGGCTCCACTCCCCTTAGACAGGGGAAGGACCCAGACCAGAGCCTTAAATCTGACCCCTTTAAAGTTTTGTTTGTTTTGGGGGGGAAAGAATGGAAGGTCAGAACTACCCCTGACAGGTTGGGTCTGGCTCTGACTTGAGGCTTCATGGGGCCTGACTCTAATTCCCATGTTTGATGGAGCAGAGATCCAGTGGGGAGAGCATGTGAGGTCTGAGAACCATTGAACCTGAGCCATTAGCCTCAGCCCTGACCTCCATCTGGGCCTGACCCAAATCCAGTTGCCCTTCTTGGCTCATCTCTGCCAGCAGAGCCATGTCCCACCCAGGTGTTGCTGTGCCTCTGGGGGGCCCTGCCGTGAGGTTGGGAGATGAGGGCTGGCATGGGCAGCACTGCTGTAACATGGCTGTGTTTGCCTAGGCGGAGATGGAGCGGGCATTGCTGCAGGGGGAGCGGGAGTCAGAAATGATACAGCTGCAGCAGGAACAGAAGATCGTGCAGCAGCTGCAAGAGAAACTCTGCGAGCTGGACTCCAGCATCCAGAAGGAGCGGGACAAGGTAAACCCCAGAGCTAAGAGTTCCCCTGTCTGTGCCTTGGAGCAGTGAGTGCAGGGTGCACCCCACAGCCCCCCCAAGGGGCTGCTCAATCTCAGGTCCCCTCTCTGCTGGAAAGTGTTGTCCCTGCGCACATACTTCTGGCTCCGATGTCGAAGAGACTGACCCATCTGGTCACCCGCTGATCTTGGAGGAGAATGGCACGGGTTCTGTGCACTGCACACACTGGCCAGCCGTCCCCAAGAAAGCTTGTGTCATCTCCCTCTGGGCCCCCCTTCTCAAAGGGTTTCCCATCACCTCCTGGGTGGGCATCTCAAGTGCCATTTCCATGCGGAGGGGGCTGCCCCAGGCACATTCGTCCCCAGATAGGAGGGGCTGGATTTATTGCAGCCAGCTTGAGACAGCACTTCCTCTACTCAGAGCATTTCCCTTCTCTCTGCCGTTGTCTGGGATCCTGGGGCAGACTGGCCACTGGCTTGGGAGCTTTGTCAGCCTGTCGGGGGTTGGAACTGTCCATTCTTGGGGCTCTGGTGGGGGAGGGCAGCTCCTTTCGGTGCTTGGGGTGCACTTTGGGAGTCACCTTTGCACTCGTTGAACCTTTCCACAAGGTGCCAATCTCTGGAGCTTTCTCTGTTGGCCTCAGCCTTCACCTGGGCAGCACATGGGTTACTGGCCCATCATGCCCCCTTGCTTCCTACACTGGCCTTGGTGTATAAGGTTTTGCAGTGAGTTTGTCAGTTCTCTATATGCCCCACCAATCGACAGCTCCAGGTGCTCATGTGCAAGTGGTGATGAAGCTGCAGTGCTTAGCTTGCTGGAGACCCTCATGTCGCTCCATTTAAAGCATCATTCAGCTTTGACCATGATGCCACCATGGGGTCATTAATTTCCCAACTTGTTGGCTGAGACGTGGTTCCCAGAACGCTGGAGAGGAGGGGGAACAAGAGCCAGACTTCACCTTCCAAAGACCATTATCTCAGCCTCCCTTCCAGATCTGGGGTCTTGCTTGCTCCATGCTTCTTAACAGTGGAAACAATACCTCCACACCCATGCAGAAACGCACACAACTCCAGAAAGAGATCTGAATGCAGTTTCCTCTGTGGTACCCATGGCAACCTTCCAACCCTCACCTCTGAATGTCCCCTGCAATAACCTCTGCAGGACAAACTGTACCCCCATTCCCATCAGAAACTGCACCAAAACCCCCCTTCCTGCTGATGATTTCTGCCCTTCACAGCAACAGAACCCTCTGCTGGTGCCCCCTCAGAACTGCATATCCACACAGGGACCTATCTCAAGGAGTCTTGTTGGAGATGATCCATTCCCGTGCAGGAAGGTAACTGGCTGCACTGGAGCGCAGTCCCAGGCTTGCTGGAATGCGTCACTCTGTGGAGCAAGGATCAGTGGGAGCTGAGCACATTCCCAGCAGTGAGATCAACTTTCACTCTCCGTCCAGCTCTCTGAGAACCTTTGCCCTTGTCCCTCCAGGGATTCCGTACTGCCCCACACAGTGAATGGATGTTTGTGCACTCCTTGTCCTCTCCATGGCAACCCAGTGGGGTGTAGCCATGCTGGCACCATGGCTGGAAATGCACCAGGTCCTGATTCATTTCATTGGTGATTATTTCTGAGGCTGGACGAGGTGAAGCCTGTGAGTGGCAGGACGCAGGCAGCCCCTCCCGCACAGATGCGATGTGCTGGGGTTGTTTTTTTTTAAATTTTACAGCCCTTTTAAAAACCATTCCTAGTGAAACAACCGGCTCCATATGGAGTCAGGAGAGTGACTAAAAGAAACCACACTCCCAAAGTCTCTGCCGTCTTAACCTTCGCTTTCCTAATCAGTCTGCACTAAACTCTCTCTAACAGCGCCCACTCTGAAATGTCTCTAATCCCTCATGCCTCTGCATGCTATGGGGCCCCACATAACCTCCAGCACTTGCGCACACAGCAAACACCTGGGCTTAACTAGGGCAGCTGTTCTTTAGCAATGCTGTGTCCTTGAGACACGTCCTCTGAGCCGCCCTGGGCCAGGAATCAGTGCTTCTGGACTAGCACCTAAATCCACCCATTCGTATAAATTCAGATTTCCATTAACCCTGTGGGAGCATGTGAGAGAGAGACGTGGATCACTGTTCATAATGTTCCTGGTTTTTAAATTTCCTTCTGAACATTTAATCACATAGTGCAGACAGAGGAGAAGGTGCAGGGGGCACATTAGGGACAGTCAGAGTAACCGCAGCTGGACTTGTGCCTTTGGGAATGTTGTTTGCTTTACACAAAAGATGATGAAAAATCAAAGCTAATAGACTTTGATATTTGACTTGGGTTGAGAATTGAAGCTTTCCTACATGATCTTTATTCACCCTGGTCTGAGGGAGCAGCATGGAAATGCACTTCACTAGTGAGCAGCCCCATTGGCTGCTCCTCTGACCAATTAGACCCTCTCTGTGACAGCTATGTGACTGCTTACCAATTGTTAGTGGCATAGCATCCCCGGATCCAGGTTAATTTGGGGACACAGTTGCCCATTCTAGCCTAGCTGTAACCAGCTCCTTTGACCCACTTCTGATTGTAGTGTAGATGAGTTCCTGGTGTAGCTAGTAGCCTACCCTGTGTGGCACTGACGTGGATTCTCATGTTGATAGGGGGTCTCATGCTCTGTCTCTGTTGGTTACAATGGAGTGTTTCCTGGCCTCTTGCTAGGAGTTGGCAGAGGGAGAGGGGGATTGGGTTAGCTCGTCGGAGGATGTTACTCCTACATTGTTCTGCATCATGATTCTGATGGTTTAACCCCCCCCCCCCGCCCCCCAAGGTGAAGGAAATATCCTGCGTGACATTTTGGCTCTGCAGGTATTCTTGGGTTCTTTCATGGGGCTAACTGGGCTGATGTGAGCTTCACCATGGAGAGCTAGTTGCAGGCTGAGCACCTTGGGGAGCAGGGATGGATTTGCTGCCAAGTGGCTTGTTGGTAGCCACAAGGTATCATAGAGACGAAGGGTGTAGTTCCATTCCACCTGCCCTGGTGTAAATGTGGGGTGACAGTGATGTAAAACTGGTGTGAGGGAGTGGAGAATCAAGCTTGGAACTCTCTAGGTCACCACCTCCCTCCCCTCTGCAGGAGCATTCATTATGGTCTGTCTGTTCTGTGGAGATGCCCCTGTGCCCCGCACCCAGTATGCCCCACTTCATACTGGGAGCTGTATATTTAACGGTTCCTGGGAGCTCCTTAATTCTAAGGAGGATTTTGCCTGTGGCTTTGATGTGGTGACTCTGCTTGCAATCTGGGGTGAGTCTGACCCAGATTGCAATGCAGAGCAATGAGGCATCTCTGATTAAAATGAGCCTCCTGGCTTTCACACTGAAGTGCAGTAGACACCTTGAGTGCATGTGGGTTTCTTCACAGTCTGGAGACGTGACTCACTCCGCAGCACTTTGTCAAGTTAAACAAGCCATCTGGCATGAGGATGCTGGCATGCTTGCGGATTGCTAAAAGGCAGCAGACTACTGCAGGGATGAGGAGGTGGCAGGGTACTTGATACAGCTCTGCCCAGGAATTCTATTGTCACTGAGAAGCAACTGACTTAAGTGGATGTAACTAGCTGGGCTTGTATGGCAAATTCTATTCTATGAATAGAAATGAATTGTGTGATCTCATGCATGCGCATGTGTAGATAGGTATTACAGTGTTGTCTGAAATGCTGGGTGGTCATGAACCTTACTCACATCAGTCTAGTGCAGGACATCTGGCAATGTTTGGCACTGGAAATTTGGACCCCAAAAGCATAACATTAGTGGTTAAAGATTTCCTAGAAAACTGCAGGAGCTTGTTTAGATGAGCCCAAACCCTCCATTTAGTAGCCTCTGAGTGTGATGGGGAGAGCATGGATCTCCTGTTTTGGAGACAGCCCACAGCCTTCCAAGGCCTGTACTCATGTTACTGTATGGAGGGGTGGTACTCAGAGTTATAAGGTGCAAATACTCTGAGGGGTTGCTTTCTAGTGCTTAGAGTATGGGTCAGGGAGTCTGGACTGCTGGGTTCTATTCGTGGCTCAACCACTGACTTCCTTTGTGTTCTGAAACAAGTCACTTCACTTGTTAGTGCCTCAGCTTACCTACCCATAAAGTGGGTTTCATAACACTTCCGCTCACAAAAGTGTTGGTAGGGGTAATCCGCTTCTGTTTCTGACTCTTCAGATAAGAGATTCCCTAGATGCCACAGAACATTTTGCCATACATAGGTAGATGTTGTAAATGCTGGTGGTCACAGGTTCATACTTTTTTTAAAAACAGTTGCCCAGGTAGCCAGCACTCGGTGCCGAAAACCAGAAATAATAAATGCTAGAGCTGAGCCCAAACTAGTCCCAGATCTTTCATTCATATTTTAAGACCAGAAAGGACCATTAAATCATCTAGTCTGATCTCTTATATAACACAAGCCAGATCATTGTATCCAGTTACTGCTGTCTTGAGCCCAATACTAATATAATATAATATAATACAATATAATATATTGCAATAATCTGACTATCCCAAACTTCTCAGCAGTTTAGATCCAAATTTGGGTCCAAACTTCATGGCTCAAACCATTTGTAACATATTCCGTACTGCCCTGCTGGTGCCACCCTGTAAATAGACACTTGTGCCCTGTCCAAGCAATTACTGCCACTGTTGTTATCTCATTCAGTTGCCAACTTCTCAGCGAGTCCCAGGGGTTGTCTCATGTAACTATGGATTTGAAAACAATGCAGGGATTGGAGGGAATATTCATATTTCCTCTTTCTAATTTGCACTAACTGGTCTCATCATTCTGCATTGGTATGAGAGAGAGTCTCACGTTACAGGGTTTTGATGCAGATTTACCCCAAATTAGGGGTAATCCAGTCTGGGGTTTCCCCCATTCAATTTGGTGGAGGTAAAATGGGCAGGATGGGAGGAAGGATCGTCATGGGGCTATTGCTTGGGAAAGGGAGTCAAGAGTTTCCCGGTTCTCCAACTGGCTCACTGTGTGACATTAAGCAAATCACTTGCTGTCTGCCTCAGTTTCCCCACCTATAAAATAAGTATAAACTCCCCCGGACGTCTTGAGACCAAAGTGCTGCTCTCATTGGTTACATTGCATTGCTTTGTTAATCCAGGACACATGAACAGTGGGTTTTTATCATCAATTTTTATGCTGGCAGAACCCCCAAAAGAACCCTAGGAACTGCAGGGGACTCAGCATCTCTGAAAATCCAGCATGTTGATGCAGGACTGAAGCCAACTACATATTTAAACTGGGTGGGAGAGTGGGGTGTGAACCTGTTTTTTCCTCTCTTTAGGCCAGAGACAAGTGTCCTCTTTATATCCTCTCTGTCACTAACTCACTGAAATAAAACCTGAAATGTTCCCCAGGACCCAGGGAGTGAACCTGTATTAACTGAGAAAAGATTGGATCTTAGTCTCTCGTTTTTCATGTTGTCCATAAGGAAACCAGAATGCCAGGATATCCCTGTCTATGGAACAGGACATTTGACTGGTAGTGTCATCTCTACATTTGACCTGCTTTACAATTATTTGATGGTGTCCTGGATTCGAAATATCTGTTATAAAATGTTCTTCCTGAGACTTACTTAAAACAAAATGTAAGGCCTACGAAAATGCCCCTGATGACAGGCTGTGCAGGACACCTAATTGACACAGCCATTCCCAGTGCTGTGCTGACATCATCCCTGATGATGAAGCTGTGTTAACAGTAATCGGCTCGAGGCCTAGAGGGGCCTGGTATGTGCTTTCTGTAAAGCCTTTGTGTTGAGACGTGAGACTGAGGTCCAGTCCTGCGCAATAACTGTTCTAATCCAGTCCAGCCCTGGATGCCAACTGCTTTTGCTTTTTAAATCTTTTGGAAAATGCCTCTTTGACATGCCCTTCCCCTGTCCCCCTTCTCTCTCTGGCTTGAGCCACTGTCTAATTCTCCAGCTTCTGCATGGCGCGGATTTGAGAAGTGTGTTTTCTCTCTTTTTTTTGTTTTGTTTTTTGTTTTGTTTTGTTGTTTTTTCCCTGATTCAGGAAAGGGCAAAGGTTGATGCTGAAAGGAAGGAGCTGGAGAAACTCCAGGCGCTTTACAATGAGTCGAAGAGCCAGCTTGATAACTGCCCTGAGTCAATGCGGGAGCAGTTACAGGACCAGATGAGAAGGGTCAGTGTTTAACCCCCACCCTCCTGGATCACTGCCCACTCCCCCTCTCATCCATGCCCATAGCTCCAGCTTGAGCCAGCACTGGGGCCTTGTGCCAAACTGAATGCAGTACACCAAGGGCTGGAGGAGGCTGGCATCCAGGTGCCATGGTATTGGTAAGTTTACCACCCAGGATGTAGGCTGGCTGGTGCCCCAGCACTTGCAGAGTGACTCTCCCCTGCTGTTGATACTGTTCCACATGTCTCTGTCTCCGAATGCCATAACGCCTCATGGCAGCCTCTCCTCTTGGCAGCAAGTGAGGAGGGGCAGGTTTCTTTCCCTAGTGCTCTCCTCCTTCTCCACCGGCCGCTTCTCTGGTCACTGCTGCTGTTCTCTGGGGGACGCTAATGTGGCAAGTGCTGCAAGCCTCCCCCTTGTATTAGTGCCTGGAGGGGGAATTCTGAGCACCGGAGCAAATCTGCCTGTCCCCAGATGTGAATTCAGTCCCATCCTTCCCCCACCCGCCAACAGAAACCAGCAATTTGGCTGCTTGGCCAGCTCTGATTTTGACTAGAGACTCCTATCAAGCATGGAAAATGGGCAACCACCCAACACTTGTCTCCTTGAGCTAAATCCTTCATCTAGGTGCTGCTCTTGAGCACCTGCCTCTGCCAGGGACGACTCCTGTGTGGCTGGAGGCCCAGAGATGTACGGTGGGGTTTCTGTTCGGGCAGTTTCTCTAGAGGAGTCTGCACCAGGGTGCAAAGGCACAAATGTCTATTTCAGAGACCCTAGGCCTGATTACTTAGACTGGACCTGCCAAAGGAAACTCTTGCTCTGCCCCTTGAACTGCCGTGCAGCAAGGATCCTCGGCATTGGTAGAGCTGGAAGAGGCCTATTGCAAATGCAGGTGCGGCCAGCCCCTGGGTGCCACGCTGATACTGCACACCACTTTAGCCTTAATCCAGCCTCTGTGAAAGGAGAGGCCGGCACACCTCAGGGACTAAACTCTGTATCAGTTTTTTGCTGTTTCCTGTGAACATGTATGTATACGATCCAGGCCAGATAATGTCAATATCGCAGTGCTGCAGCATTTTTTCCCATTAGCTGGGATTTTCCAGGAGCGCCTGGGAATGGAATATTGTCCTTTTATTATGCCAAACTCTTATAGTGCAATAAATTAAAGCCTTTTTCCTGGTCCCCGCAGGAGTCACAGCTAATCCCAGCCTGAAAACCTATGTCCAGTTTAAAATGGAACTCAGCAGATGTCTAATGCAGTGAGTGACATGTAGAGCAGGAAATCAATGTCTCCCCATTGACACTGAACAGGCCGTTTCCACTAAATAGATGCTAAAGGGTTTGCATGGGAAAATTCTTCACTGAAATGGGGCACGGTCAGGCTGAAAAATAGGTATTTGAAATAAAATGCAAAAATCCCAACCAAGCTAAAACCTAACTCTAACTTCTGCAGCTTGTTACTAACAGCCAGAGTGACTGGAATGTAAAGGATTTAAAACATCAGATGCACTGTTTCCCCAAGGCAATGTTTGCCTCTTGCTTCCTACACAGCAAAGCTAGCCTGGTCAGTTTCTTTTTCGAGTTCCTGTGCCCCAGCTCCTGTTGGATTTGCAAGAGTTGCAGAGGGATGTTTACATCCAAACAAAACCTTGTTTAATTAATAACATAATGACTAAAGGCTCTTGCTGTTAGTGTAGAATTTACAAACCCTGAATTGTATCCGCACTTGCCCAGGAGATGCCATCCACATTTAAAACGAAATAAAACAAACGGTTCTTGCCCCAAGCTCAGTTCTGCACTGTCCAGGAGGTGATCTAGCTCAAACGCTGTGAGTCTCGTCCATCTCTGGGCTACGTGGTCACATCCCTGGAGCACACTAACTTGTTGGCTTGGCCATACTAACTATGTTAGTGAGAGACCTTCATGTAACCCCAGCTCGACAGCCCCACTAATCCATGCCCACTGAGTGCCCAGCTGGCACCTTTCATAGAAGTAACTTTTAAGAAAAAAAAGGTAGGGGAACAAATCTGCTGTTTGAATCTCTGCTGCCAAGGATCAGTGGGCTGTGCAGAGCCCCCGCCAAGACTGCTTTGCCCTGACCCTCTTTCCAGCAGATCACAAGTTCCCGTTGTCCCATGGTGCAGGGGCCCTGCACATTATCCCCTACCCAAAGCTATTCTTTCTCTTCCGCTGCCGTAGTCGGCAGGGAACGCTCTGGGCTGGACTTCTCTCTGCTGGTGTGTGAGTATCACATAGGTTTGCAGCACTGTGGGAGGATGGGTCGGGCCAGCGAGACTGGTAGGGAGAATGCACTTCTTGTCTAGAGTTTGTGCGTGTGGAGCAGGAGACCTTGCCTGGGTAGGTCCCTGGGCTGGGCACGATTGCACGTCCCTGTTGAGCAGGAGGTCCATGACGCGCTCAATCAGAGCCACCAGCTGTGCACTGCCCCTGGGCCTCCCAACAAGCAACAGGGAGGTGTAGAGCTTCCCTCCTGCTGCAGCAAATGGAGCTTTGCCCCTTGCTTTCTCAGTGACCTGCTCTCCTGTCAGAGCAGTCCCTGTGCCATGGGGGAGAGGAGGGAGGCCCTGCTACCAGGGAGGCATCTCTGTTTCAGAGAGTGCTGAGCATCCATGGTTGTGTGTTTGAAGGAGGCAGAGGCCCTGGAGACGGAAACCAAGCTGTTTGAGGACTTGGAGTTCCAGCAGCTCGAAAAGGAGAGTCGCTTGGAGGAGGAGCGTGAGACCGTGAGCCAGCAGCTCCTGCAGAGCAAGGCTGAGTGCCACCGCAGTATCGCCAAGAGGAAGGTGGGGAGCAGGCCCTGGACCTTGGGCAAAGGCTATGGAGCCTGGGCTCTCCCTTGTCCCAGAAGTGTCCACTGCAGTGAGGGGGAAACTGGCTTGTCTGTAATCCCCTCCCAGCCCACCTTAGCCTAGGACTCCCCGGCCCAGCTTTGCTCTGGTCTGCTCTCCTCTCCTAGCCCAGCCCCTTCCTTTAATGCCCTAGGCCCTGTGCTGTCTCTGTGCTCACAACAGCCCTTTGGCTCCCGAGCACTGTCTCCTCGCACACTTCTCTCTCTGCCCCAAGCCAGCCCTGTGCCTGTTCTGGGAATGGATGGAGGGGCTCCAAATACCTGCCCAGACTGATACTTCTTCCCAAGCTGTCCTGCAGGGCCTGGTGCCAGCTCACCCTTGCCTTATTTTCCTTAAGGAGCGGGTGGCTGCATTGGAAAGCCAGGCCAATCACATCCGGCTCCAGGCTGCCCAGGACTCTGAGCGCCTTGCCAAGGAGAAGAATACCATGCTGCAGCTGCTGCAGAAGGTAACATCCTGGAACCATGCTGGATGGAGAGGGGGAAAGGGGTTCACTGGAGTAGTGTGTGCCAGGCCAGGCACACTCACTAACAGAGTGCACTGCCTTGGGGGGCTGGACCCTGTCTCTGCACTGCTGTGTCCTTCAAGTCCAAATGAGTCCATGTAGCATACGTGCTCTGCTCTCCAGCAAAAGGGTCACGTTACACATTGCCTGTTGGAAATGGAGAGGGCAACTGTGCTGGCACGGCTTGTCATGTCCCTCCCACCTTGAGCCCAGACTTTTCAGCTGGCCTGTATCCAAACACTGACCCCAATTGGGATCCCAGCTGTACACCCTGCCCCAGGCTCACCTAGTGATAGGGAGAGGGCTGAGAACCCCTCTGCTTGGGGCTGGGCTAATGCCACTCGTGTGACTGTCACTAGCTGCCTCTGCATGTGGCTGGGAGAAGAATGGATCTTAGCAGGAACCTCAACGATATGGGTCTCTGTCAATGTGGGTGCTGTCAGGAAGGGCCCTAGTGGTTTCTGTGGCTGCCCTGGTGTTGGCCTCACTTTAGGACACTTTTCAGGACAGCCACTAACTCTCTTGCTATCACCCTTTTTCTCCTTGTTGCTGTGCACTCAGGAGAAAGAGAAGCTTGTCTCCCTGGAGAGACGGTACCATCTTGTTACTGGCGGCAGGAGCTTCCCCAAAACATCATCTGCGCTCAAAGAGGTAACTAGGGGGAAGAGGGATGTTTAGTCACTAGACCTGCCCTCCCTTCGCAGTGCCATGCCTTCCTGGGACTCCAGCTGCCTCGATGGGCCCCTGCCTCTGGCCTCCACGAGGTGTAAACAGTGCTCAGAGTTGTGTGATTGTTGGCACAAATGCCTGAAAGTCCCAGTGCCCTGACAATGAAAACACCTGTCAGCTGGAGAGGGCTCGCTCTCTCATTGCAGTGGGGATCCTGTTTCCCTTTGACAGACCCTCCCGGGGGCAGAGCCACCAACACTGTGGAACCAGAGTTTAACCTCCGCTTTGGAGCTGTTCCTTCACACATGGGTTTGCCGTTAGCTGGGTGTGCTAGTCATGCCATGCACCATGGAGATTAGAGACTGGTTCTTACCTGGTTGGCCCCAAACACTGGCAGGGAGAGGAACCTGATCCAGTCTTGGGAGCAGAGCATCATTCCCTGGGTATGTGTTGCCTTGGACACCTGAAAGGGGGGTGGCCTTTGGCTAACTCACCACAGCCCCCAGACCAGTCTGTGCTATTAGGGTCTGGCTAGCATCCCGTAGCCCAAGAGTGCATGGCATGTGTGAGGATGGGGGTTCTCATGGAAATCTTGCATGGCTGCAGGAGCATTTCTCGGTACATCCCATTGCTCAGCGGGGACTGCAAGCACTAGCTGGGGCTGGAGTCCCATGTCACGAATCCTTGTCCCATGTGCCAGGGGAAGAGCGTGGCACTGGCTCTGTGCAGGTGCCCAGGATTCTCACTGATGATACATACCAAGGTGTTCAGCATGGGAGGAGGGGATTAGCCCGTTACCCCCTCCACCATCAACTTTATTAAGTACCTTTATTCTGGGGAGGGGCAAAGTGAGCTAGTGGCCGGCTGGCCCTTCCACAGACTCCGCCATATTGTGCATGATTGGAATTGGTAGCCAGGTGGGTGTAAGTTGTGAGTGTGTTGATGTGGAGACTAGGAGCATCTCCAGGGAGGGTTGGCTCTACACTGTGGAGGGCACAGACCCTTTTCCTCCCTCCTGTAGTTAGAACTCCCAAGGGCAGAGCTGTGACAATCCAGCCATGGGATATGTGATGCCTGCTGCCTTCAGTCCTGCTACTGAGATGGTCTGCAAGGTGCAATCTTCTGTAAGGCTGTGCCATGAAGCTGCAGTGCTCTGTCAGCAGGGATCGGCTGGCTGGAGGCTCCATTAGGCGATGTCCCTGCTTTCTGCCTGAGGCTGTTCAGTTGGGGAGGGATTCCTCTGTGCTGTTTTGATCTCGCTGTTTCTGTGCCTGCTTTGCCCTGATGACCTTTACCCTCCAACAGGAAACACTTCATATCTCAGAGCCTTATGACCTGTTAGAGGAAACTAAACCCCAGAATCCCCTGCTAGGGGCAAGTGCTTCCTTAGGTCCTTTCTCCGCCCACTCTTACCCCAAGATGCAAGAGGTAACGGGACTAACTGCACGTGCTTGCTTGCTCACTGCTTCCGCTCCCCTGCACAGAATGGGGCCAGACTGCTATGTGCAGCCATCTTATCAGGGTCTTGTAAATAATTCAGTCGACAGGCAGGCCAGCAGATCTCTTAAATTGGCTTGTGTTGCCATCAGTGACTTAGGCCCCCTGAGATAGGCATGGAAAAGGCTCACTAACAGGGCACCATCAGATTAATAATCACGTATTTCTCATGCACCTTCAAACACCTGGGACTAACACTCCTCACAGTTGATGTTCTTTAAACTTCATTCAGCTGCACAGCTCTCGTTTCTAGACAGTTTGGCTTCCTGGTTCACTTGCATTGGCACCATACTGTAGTGTGGCTTAAATCCCAACAAAATGCCTTGTACGTGTTTTTCCCTCCCATTCCGCAGACTGCAAGCCTAAAGCTCCCCAACAACATCCCTTTAATTTCTTCTGTTTGCCTGTTTGTTTGTTTTCTATTTTTTTTAAATAGCATCAAAGTCTTTGATTTAGAAATAGTGAGAGAGCTGGGAACCGGTTCCAAACCAACTGGCAGGAGAGGTTGGGATTCTTAATTGCAAATTGCTGCCAGTGTCTAAACAGTTTGGGGCTTTATCAAACATTTCTATTAATGATGCTTGGCAACAGATGCCAGATGCTTCACCCTATCACCTGCGTTGTCTGGCTGGCGACAGCAGGGGGCACTGTGGATGGGTCTCGGGGTCTGCACTGACCCACCCATCCCCTTTGCTGTGTTACTTGGTAAGGGAGGAGCTTGTTCCAATACCACATGCCAATTCCTACCCATCAATTGCTCTTAATTTAGTTGCTTTCCTTGGGCCAGTATCCCAAGAGCTGCGTTTCCCATTGCTGCTGTCTCCCCGTGGTGCTGGAGTGGAGCATGTTGGGCCCTTCTGATGGTGGGGTTGCATGTGGATGTTTTGTGTGGTGTGTGCAGTAAAGCTCCATTATAGACTGAGTACTGCAGCAGCAGCAGCAGCATGCGGTCCCTTCTCCCACCCGCCTACCACATGTTCCGAAGCAGGCCATCTATCGATCCCTCTGGATCAGATGCTAATTCAGATGCCAAAGGAGTTCCAGATTCCCTGTCTCAAACTGTCTCAGGTGGGCACGTTGCAACCAGGTGGCACTAAATGCAGCTAAGCTGCCGTTGGCCCAGTCCTCCAAGTTCCAGGAGAGAGAGAACAGGAGGGCTGGCGACCAGCGGGTGGCACTAGGGAATCCTCAAGCTCTAGTGGAAATAAAGCAGCAGCCTAAAGGCGAATGGCTGTGTGCGCCATGGTGGTGAAGGTTGGGAGGTTCCTATTCTGTGGACAGCCAGACAGCCTAAGATAAAGCCAATTACACAGTAGTGTAACTTTCAGAGACTACAAGTCCCAGCATGCTCTGCCCCCATCCAAGTGGCACTCCTGGGATGACAAGTCCTGCCCTGCAGCGCTAGGACTTGTAGTCCCCACATGCTGCCCCTCTCTATGGAAGAGGAAGTCGGAATGTAAAATCGTTCAGCCAGCTGCACTAGGGAGCCTAGGCAGCACGTGTGGAGCTTTACTGCTGTGCCATGGGACCAGTGCATGCGTCTAATTCTCCCCCTTCTCCATCGTGGATTTCTAGGAGTCCATGAGGCTGTCTGACGTTTTCAGATTCTACTGCAATGTGTACGGCCCTGGCCAGGACACTAAAGCTTCTGCTGTTGCCACTGCTGCTGCTCCACTCTCTTTCTTGCTTGCTGTACCTCCTGCAGCCAATGAGGTACCTGCTCCTGAGCATGCTGAGTTTTGCTTACACTGTTTCTGGCTGGGTAGCAAAGCCTGTACTCTAGTGGCTGACACTGAGAGCAAGGTTGTCTTATGTCTCAAGATGGGTCAGGCTGGTGCAAGGGATGGAGCCACCTTGCCATCTCCGGTTCCCTCAATGCTCCTTACTGGAGCAGATTGGTTTTGGCTTGGTGCATCCCCCTGGCCTGCAACTGAACAGGCAGTGAATTCATGCTGACTTGTGAGGGAAGCTGAAATGGTCATTTCTGGCGACTAGGGATTTCTCTCCTCTTATGCTGTAAAATAGAGTGCTTTAGACTCGTAGACAGCACTGGGGGGCTAAGTTCCCTCTAAGCTGCGTGGCTGCACAGCAGGTATCAAGGGACATGCAGACAGGGAGAGGCACCTCTCCCCCAGCCCCAGCCTCAGAGCTGCCAGGGAGAGGGGCCTCTCCCCTGGCCCCAAACTGCAGTGGTGAGAGAGGGCTGGGGGGCTTCCTCTCTCCCTGCCGCAGCCCCGAGGCAGCCGGCACCCCAAACCCCTCTGCCCCAACCCTGAGCCCCTTCCTGCACCCCAAACCCCTCATCCCCAGCCCCAGCCCAAAGCCCGCACCCCAGAGCCCGCACCTCCAGCCAGAGCCCTCACCCCTCCACATCCCAACCCCCTGCACCAGGCCTGAGCTCCCTCCCAAACCCCGAACCCGTCGGCCCCTCACCACACATCACCTCCATATTGGTGCACATATCAAAGTTCATTCTGCACATGGATGTAAAAAATTAGAGGGAACATTGCTGGGGAGTGGGGTGAATGAGTTAACTCTTTAGTCCTCTGAAGTTGGCTACCTGGGGCAAGGTCCCTCCCTGTTCTCAGTGGAATTCCCCTACGGAGAATTTGGCTGCTGGGGTCTGCAAGTGAGATATGTGGGATCAGCTTTAGGTTGAATTAGATCTTTGTTACAAAACGGCCATTCAGCTTGGCATAGACAGTCTCAGCTGAATGGCTGGAGTAGCTTTGGGGCTGCGGGTCAGGATTGAGGGGCATCGGCAGAGCCGTGTGGGGGGAGCCCGACACTGAGGTAACTAAGGAGGGAGGTGACTTGGCAGAGCAGCTTGGGGAGCCTTACACACTGCCAGCCTGGCCTCTCTCTGGCTCAAGTGGGTGCTATCAGTCCCAGGAGCAATAATAGTTCTGCCCAAAATTAAGAAGTAAAGTGACTCCCCCAGCAGAGCTTATGCAGGTGCCACTTCCAATGTGCTGCGAGACCTTCAGGCGAGCGGGTGACAGCTGGGCTCAATGCAAATAGCAGCTGTTCCTGATGCTGCTCTGTGGAGCTGAGCCAAAAACCTCTGCAGCTTGTCAGGAAGTTAAACTCTTCTATTGTGATGACCTCCTCTGGGATGGGCTTTGGGGCTGCTGAAGTCCTTGCCTGCTCACCTCTCTGTCTGTCTGGCTCTCATTGCTCTAGTCCTGTTTCCGCTTTTCACTCTGCTGCTTCTCTCTGCCCCAGTATGTGACTGTTGACCAGCTCTCAGGGATTCTGGGCAATGTCAGAGCTGACCTAGGGCTGGCCCCTCCTGCTTCCCCATTGGGCCATCACACTTCAGGCTTCGCCCCTCAAGTTGCTTCGTCTGCAGGCTGCCTTCCTTCTCCTGCGCCACCTCTCTCCTCTTCCTTCATCTCTGCTGAGGTTTGTGTCCATTGCATTTCCCTCTTGCCACCCCTCGGGCTTCAGCACCCCCACACTGTGTGCCTGGGATGGGTCCCAGAGAAAGGCGGCCAGGCAATAGTGATCCCTTCTGGCCTGGGATGGAGTCATGCCCAGCACAGACACCACTAGCATCATCGGCACGTTAGCTTGCCTTGGCGACCTTGGCAAATGCTGAATTATCCATGGAGGCTGATCCCTCGCAGTGCAGAACATGCACATGGGTCAGAGGAAGAGCTGGTCCTACTGCATGATCCCTCCCCAGTGCCACCACACCAGCCCCTCTCGCCAGCTCTAAAGCCTCAGGACTGATTTAATGTTAAGCTCTCATTTGGCTGTGATGAGGGAGCAGCATGGCTCACCCCTGGGGCAAGGTGCTCTGTGTGTGGGTGGGGGGTGTCCAGCCACAGAAGGGAAGGCAGATGTGGGGCTCCGGGGCCTCTGACCCACAAGCAAGAATCCTGCACTGCCATGTCAGTCCGCAGGGTGAGGGAGACAGGCTGAGATCCCCAGGTTCCTTCTCTCACTGCAAAGCAGAATTGTGTGCTGCTCCCCTGCCCTGCCCAGTGCCCTCATCACAACACTCAGCTGGAGGAGGAGCTAGGACTGGCAGCAAAGGGGAGCAGACCCAGCAAGAGGACTGGTAAGTGGTGAGAGTTCATGGCCTAGGACTGTGTTTATGCCAGGGATGTCTGACATCTTCCTGTGTGTGCAGGGTCCCTTGTGAGCCCTGCAGCATACCATGAGTGGAGGGGGAAGGAATGACACCCTTTTGAGCCCCAAGCCGTGGGTATCTACTCAGAACAATCTGTCCCAACACTCCTGGGTTCAAGGACGGTTTGAGAACACGTCTCCATCCCAACCTCGACCCTGCTGTACGGTTGCTCTGCTTTGCTGCAGCTCCAGGGTTAAGCAGGAGTAGCTGTCTGCACAGCTCCCATTGCAAGTGTTGGTGCTGTGCGTCCCCTCCCTGCCTGTGTCCCCTGCTGCCTTTCATTCATCTCAGCCCCTCTGTGAGGACTCACAACGCTCCCACCGGGCTTTCCTGCCACATCTAGATGGTTTCACTGTAAGCCATGCAGACTGGGGTTGAGTGGCTTTCCAGTGCTCACATTAGTGCCTGCTGCTCTCGCTCCTTGATGATGGGGTTGGGGGTGGAAGATCGTGGAGCTGTTGTCAGCACAGTGCTGGGGTTTGGCTGCAGATGAAGGGTCCCATGTTTTAATTCCCAGGAAGAAGGGGGTGGAGCCAGTTTGGGCCCCTGGTGGGCTGTAGGGAGCACTGGGTTCTGTTTCCCTCTCCCCACATCCAGGTCCCTGGTGTGAGCATGCAGGGATGGTGCAGGGTTTCTCTGTTTCTCATTCTCTCACTGTTTCATCCTCCTTCCCTCCCCTCCTGTCTCTCACACCCTCTCTCTTTAGATGGAGAAGCAGCTTCAGGGGGGCCCAGTGCAGCTTTCTGCCCTGGATTTAGAGAAGTGGTACATGGCTCGCTTCGAGGCCTCCTCCCCTGCCTCTCCTCACTCCTCCCCTCCTCCTCTTCCTGCTAAAGCTCACTCTTCTCGAAAGCTGTTCCAGGTAATTGCCCCACCCACTTCCCACCTCCGGGCCCTGCAGGGGTGGACAGTTATGGCCTTTTGGGTGTTCACAGGCTGCAGGGTTGGGATCACAGAGGTGCCTGGGGAGGGGGCTGTTGGCAGCAAGGCTGGCTGCAGCTGGACTCAGCCAGTTAGATTAGTGAGACTGATCACCCAATAAGGGAGTTTCCGAGCTAGGGATGTTCTGAGTCCCTTCCCAAAACCGGCTGGGATGGTGGGAAGACATAGGTAGTGTGACCCAGATTCCCAGCTAGTGTCAATTGACTTAGCTCCCATGAATCAATGGAGCCAATTCGCACCCGCAGTGGATTTGACCCAGAAGTTGGTTGTTGCTTTGATTTCCCACGGCCTGGCTGGGTCCGTTACTCTCACAATGTTGCAACTGGCGATTTTGGGGGAGAATTATCAGCTCAGGGAAGTATTTATTATTATTTATGCCATGTAATGCCGGCACATAGTGCTTAACAGACGCATTAAAGAGACTCTCCCTGCCCTGTTTTGTGTAATTTAGGACTCGTCTCCACAGAACACAGAATCAAAGTAATGAAATGATTTGTAGTTCACTTTTAGCTACTCCACTGCAAGTCTGTGAGCCCCAGTGCCAAGTGAGAATGAATTTAATGGATTATTTATCAGTGTAAGACCTGTCGCAATAGCTGCTCATGCAGATTTTCCCTTGGGGAACTGATGGTTCAGGTTACAGCCCCTTTAGTTAATTGGGTTCCAGCCCAGCCCTTGATCTCAGCTGAGGAACAATAACCTGTTGAATGACATTAATGAGTGTGGAGAGAAGTCCCCGCAGTAAAAGGCCCCCTCAGTATACCACAAGGCCCAGGCACCAAACCCCAGGAAGTGAGAGCTGACCCTCCCATGTCCAAGTCCGCTGCATGCCGCAGCAAGCTTCTTTAGTGCCTGGGGCTCTGCAAAGGAATCAGAGGAGCAGCACTGGGAAAGTCTGAATCCGTGATCTGTACCTGTGCATGTGCCTTTCCATCTTTGTGGAGGTTGTACTCGGGTTTGTAGAGAGGTGACTGAACACAACCTTATGGGCTCTATGCTCACTCTCAATGAGTCCAGCTCACAGAAGCTCAGCTGCTGAGTCCAGAAGTTCCTTTTGCTCCAGGTTGGGACACCCGTTAACTCTTAGCGTTAACTCTACTGCTGTTAGCAAGCTGGGCCCTCCGTCAGCTGCTGTCTGCACATGTCTTACATCTTGAAAAGATGCAGATCCTTCAGGTAGATCCAGGCTGCCATCTTATCAGATCCCATTTTATCCTCCTGTTGCTACTTGGGCTCCTTTCCCCTCTTGCTGCCCCTTTAGGGGTTGAAGTGGTTCAAATGCCATAAGTCTCTGTTACGGATGCTGATGGCTAACCATCAATTCTCCCTAAGCCTCAGCCAGTCCACAGGGTCCTGTGTGCTGTGCCCTTCATCTGCCCTTTTTAGTCATGTCTGTGTTTGTGTCCAGGTCTATCGTGCTAAGATGGACAGCGACACCGGCAGCACCCTCCCACGCACAAAGAGCGGGTCTGCATCATCCTTGCAGCTCAGTGTGGCCACGCTGGGACGCAGCTCCTCCCCAAAGGTATGTGCTCGGGGGGCTGCAGTACCAGCATTGTCACTCATTCCCCAAAGGCGGGGCTTGTTCCAATCCATTGACTTTGGGGGTCCTGGGCTCTTGGGCTGCAGGAAGATAGTTGGGAGACACAGTCTGGAACCCTGACTTGACGCCCTTTCACAGCAGTACAGCAGGTTGATCTGTTAATATCTCCATCAGCCAGACTGTTTATAGCTAAGGCCCTTTACTGCACTTTGAGCCCATGAGCCGGGAACTGGGCATCCCACGGGGGCACAACCCACAGGGGCTTCTTCATCCTTGTCTTTTCACATCCCTAGGGTCCCCTGCACCCACAGAATGGCACAGGTAGCCTGCCACGGAACCTGGCAGCCACACTGCAGGACATCGAGACCAAACGCCAGCTGGCCCTGCAGCAGAAGGGTAAGTTCCTGCTCCAAGGGCATCCCACAGGGGGTGGGATTCAACCTGCCCAGGGAGTGAGAAGGGAGATGCTCCTACCGAGATGCTCCAAACTGCTGAGTAGTTTCTGTGGGAGCTGGGGTTGCTCTGCCCTTGCTTGTGTCCTGTGTCCTGCACAAATATCTCTGCTCGTTATGTGTTACTGCTAGCTGTGGTTCATTAGACATCCCGTCTGGGGAACTCCGAGGACCTTTCTCATGCATTGGGAGGAGGAAAAACACCCACTCCCTGAGCTGGTGGCTGCCTCTTTGCCTGGAGCTTTTACTACTCTGCTCTCCTGAACGATGCAGGCCCAGACCATGATCCAGTCTGGCTGTGCATCGCAAACCCAGGAGGCTCTGGTGGTGCAAACAATCGAGAGGGGGAGGGAGAGGGAGGGTTCCCAACGATCTGCCTGTGGAGGGAGGGTTGGCTTAAGAGAAATTGTCTCTTTGTGAGAATGGTCCTGGGTCTCTCGCTCCCTGGGCTGGAGTTACCAGAAACTCAGCAAGTACCCAGCCCAGGTTGGGGGAATCCGAATTCAAATCCATTGGGGAGCTTCTGCAACTCGGGCTGAGCTGAGCCTATGTTTTCTCCTCATGTACTGCACCTGCCTCCCAGGTGCTAGGGGACCAGTTTGTGTCAGGAGGGAGGGATGAGAACACCTGGGGGCCACAATTGAAACAGAACAACGATCTAGGTTGCTATAAGCCCCTCTCACTCCAAGGGGTGTGTCAGGCTGCTGCCTATGCCACTGGCTTTGGAGTCTGGAGCAGTAGCTGGGTCCATCTTCGGAAGGGTGATGGGCTGAGTTCCCCAGCTGGGATTTGAACCCATTTCCCGGGAGTCAAGGTCTTAGCTGATGCTTGGCCCCTGTAGCCATAAACATGCCCAGCATGAGGTGGTCTCTACTAGTGGGGGAGAGGAAATGAAGGAGTAAGGCTCTACGTCAGGCCTTTTGACAATCTTGTGACTTTAATATGACTGGTCAAGTCAGCTGGAGTAGACCACGAGGATCATGGGAAGGGGAGAGGTCAGGACTCTCACAGGTGGGTGGGGGGATGTCATCACTGAGTTGTCACATGCTGCTTTGCTGTACGTGAGCAGCATTGGCCTGTCTGGCCCCAAGCGCTCAGCTCAGCTGGCAATTCCCAGGCTCTGTCTATGCTGGGCCCTGGTCATGCTCCAGCATGGCTGTTGCTAGCAGTTGCTGTGACCCCATATACACAAGGCTGTCTTGCTGGAGAGCCCAGCTAGGCTTTTAGCAGTTTGGCAGGATTCTCGGAGGAAGAACTCCCATCAGTGGTAGACCCAGCCATGTTGGGCATCCTGCTGCTAGCCCAGCAGTGCTCCCAACAGATTTCATCTTGCGACTTGGTTGCGATCCCTCTGACCCTTGTGAGATCTGTTAATTGGCAAGACAATAGCATGGTCCTGCAACACAATGAAATGTGGCAGGTCCCATCTGCCCACAGTAATCGTGCCGGGCTGCCACTTCCTGCAGCATGGCTGATCTAACAGTGTAGATGAGACTAAAACCTCAGCTAACCCAGCGGCAGCCACGGGGAGCAGGCAATGCCCAGAGCCATTGTGCAGGAGAGGAAGAAGCCAGGAGCCTGCCAGGTTTGGTTTGTCTCTGACACGGATATTGTGGCTTTCTCATGGTCTCTTGCTTTTACCCTCTGTCCCCTCACCCCCAGCTCCACACGGTGCATCTCCAGCTATTACACTCCCAGGAGAGCCCTTGCAGCCAGGTAATGTGTCAGGTAGAGACTTGGGTAGATCAGCCCCTTAGGCAGCAGCATGGCTGTGTGGTTCAAGAAGACACCTGATGCCATCTGCCAAGGGTGGGGAGGAGGCACAGACCCAACCCCAAGGTGTCAGTGTGTCTATGAGTCAGTCTGCTAGCAGCGCCAGACAAACTGGCCAGATGCTTCCAGGACATCTTCCCCCAAGAGCATCCGCAGCTGTGTCCCAAAGGGGACGTCTCCAGCTTGCACTTGGGAACCAGCTTGTTTTCCCCTGGCATTAGGGGCTGGTGCTGACTGAGGCAGGTGGCTTGTTCCTGACCAGCCCAGGGTTTCCCCTGCATCAGAGAGGGAAAGCCCTGAGCATTTTTCTCCCCCATAGGCCATGTCAGCCAACATCTTTCCTACTTTGGTCAAATGAGCTCTGCAGGACCCTGTCTGCCTCCTCTTCCTCCACAGCAGCAACTCCAGTCACAGCAGCTGTTTGCTCCTTTCAGTGCCTGTGCCTGCCACGCAAAGCGCCAAAAGCTGGAACTCCTTCAGGAACCTGCTGCCTCCCTGCATCCCCCTCTCCCTGCTGCACCCCCAAAAGCCCCACCGAGCACGCAAGCGGTTGTGTGGATTTGGCAAACCTGGTATCAGGCTGCCTGGTCTATGAATGCTTTGCCCAGCCCTGCCAGACTGATGCATGCACCCTCCCCTTGCTGCCTCTGCTCTGAGTGTCTGAGGGGATGGGCTGGAGGCCAGGGGAAGGTAGAGGCCCAGCTGGGATGGTCCATGCAAGCTGGGAACCTTGAAGGTTGGATCTGGCTATGTGCATTTTTGGCAGGAGGGAGGAGTGGGGTAACTGATCTAAATGGGTCTGGAAAAGGTGAGGAGCCCCTTGAGGAGACACACTGGGAGCTTCCAGTGCATCCACCAAGTGATCCAAGAGCACAGCATGGGAGTGGGGTGTGCCGTCGGTGGCCCGTGGTCAGACCTGCCTGATTCCTGTCTCGCTGCCAGCTCCCAGATGGGAATGAGAGCTGGGTAAAGTCGCCATGCAGCAGGGCTGCTGCAGCTGCACAGTGGTGGCAGTGGCTCCGACTCCTCAGGGTGAGCGACTTTCCAGGGAAGCCCTGGTTCCTTGGCTGCTGCATGGTAGCAATGTGCATCCTGCCCAGAGACCAGGCTTATCCCTGGCTCCTCACATGCACAGCAGGGAATTCCCTTTGCCTTCAGACTCCGCCACCACTGCAGTTCAAATCCACATTTCTCTCTGTCCCACTTACTCTACGTTCCCACAGTGCTGCATAGGGGCTGCCGCAGGAAGGGGGCTGTAAAGGGGTTTGGGTCATGGGTGAGGGAATTCTCTGAAGACCTAGTGTACTGCTTCCCCTTTGGCTGAACAGGCAGACATGAGGAGACGGGGGCATGTTTGCACTGGGAAACGGATGGGCATGCACAGTGCTTAGCAGGGTGCATATTCGCACACTTGGATGGATGTCATAGGAGATTCTCTGCTCACTGTCATTAATGCTCTGATAGGTGTGGACATAGACATGGACACTTAGACAGATGGCCACATGCTTGTATTTCCAATCACGCGCTACGCGGACTTCGTCCATGACAGCTGGATGCACTGGGCGGTTCAGACTCGTGCCTTCCTGGCCAGAGATGGCCCAGTAGCAGAAGTCCTGTGTGAGCCATGAGCCCCAGGTAGTCACGAGTGCTGGGCACAGAGTGCAGGCTGCTTGAAGGCTGCCTGCCAGTGCCCAGGCCATAGCTACAGTAGCCAGTCAGGCCCCCTCCTTACCCCTGGTGATCTGCCCTCTGTTCTTCTTCCCTTGGGGTACAGGGCAGCAGGTGATTGAGGAGCAGAAGCGGCGCCTGGCGGAGCTGAAGCAGAAAGCGGCTGCTGAGGCACAGTCCCAGTGGGAAGCCCTGCACGGGCAGCCTCACTACCCCCCTTCTTCCTACCCTCCGCTCATGCATCACTCCATTCTCCATCATCATCCTCCCCATGGCATCGGGCACCGGGCCGAGGACATGGACCACGCCTATGACACACTCAGCCTGGAGAGCTCAGACAGCATGGAAACCAGTATCTCCACTGGTGGCAACTCAGCCTGCTCGCCTGATAACATGTCCAGGTAATCCGGGCGCCTGCACTCTGGGCAGCCTGCGGAGGGGAGGGATGCACACGGGCTGGTCCCTGTCCTGACAACAGGTGACGTGAAGGGAGTCTGCCCCATTCAGGAGAGACGTCCGCACGTTCCAGATGCCTGGCCTGGCCTAAGGGGGGCAGCCAGCTAGCTTGGGGCTGAAAGCCTTTCACCACAGGGCTGCCAGGTTGGTAATGAGCAAAGCGTGTCCAGTGGCCTCTGCATGAGGTGAACTGGGTGGGGCTGAATGAACCTAAGGTGCCTACGTGCCTAAGGTCTCTGATGGACATTTACTCTGGGCGGCTAGCACCTACCATAGCTCACACTTCTGTGGCAACGCTATTTTTAGCAAATTTGCTAGATGAAAGCTAGTACAGGTGCATCTACTCGAGCTGAGAATCACTCCCCACACACATCCAGCTCAAGTGTAGACATACCCTAAGTGCTGGAGGCAGGGACCTGGTCACTAGGGGGAGGGAGGGCTAGTTAATAAGTGCAGGGACCTACAGAGTTTCACTGGGTTGACAGATAAGCCATTTGTGAGCATTTCTGACAACTTCATTGCAGCCACCTTCCATCATCCATCCCACACACACACCCCAGCCCCGCTCCCCTGCTCTGAGACTCCCCAAACTCTTCAGCACTTGTCTCAGAATCCTTGGGCAATAACAGCCCCCCCTCCCCCCAGCTGATTGTTGGGGGGCTGGATGAGCCTGGTGAAGCTTGAGGCTGGCTCCCCTTGCTCTGCCCAATAGGAGAGCCTGACTCACAGGTGGTGGGAAGCTGCTGGGCTGGGCTGTGCACAGCAGCCATGCAAGCTGGGGATTTACGGGCTTGTGTATGCTCTTCGGGAAGGAATCCAGAGCTCAGGCGTCAGTAACATCATGAATTCTGTCTGGGAACCATCCTGGTTCTGTCTGCTCTGCAGCAGGGTGTGGGCAGAAAAACAAGCCCATAGAGCTTGTTCATGTTAATTCTGTCGGTGTCTGTGGTGATTGGTGGTGTGAGGTGATGCTGTGGCAGACGCAGTGTTTAGAGGCAGCTCTAGATGTATGAGAGGCATTGGGCTGGGGCAGAGCAGGCGATGTGGCCCTGTTTGATCCCCCAGGTCACCCTCTACAATGAATCCCTGACTGCAAACGGACCCCAATAAAACCCATGGTTGGCACAGTGATCTGCACCCCAGATCCAGGCCCCTCCCTCTCGAGCGAAAGGAGAATTTCCATGAGCTGTTCCAGGGCCTATATATCCCCTGGATTAGTGTAAGCCCTTTGGGGCAGGGGTTGTCTTCCTTCGGGCACCACCATAATACACTCATGCAGATTTCCCTGGATGTCAGGTGAACGATCCATGTGTGGATGTCTCCCTGAGGAGGGGACATGCTCCCAAAATGTGTTTGTGGGCCCCTGCTGGGGCTGAGACAGAGATGGGGGTGCAGTGTCCAAGTGCAGAGGGACTCATAGCTCAGGACAAAAACCTACACCACCTCCACAGAGTAGATGCCACTGCCAGTTAATCCCTGAGAGCCCTTTCTGTGAAAAATCATTCCCTCACCGAGGTCTGGCTCACTAGCCTTGGCTCTGAGTACTCAAGGAACTGGGAGTTTGCTTGGCCCTGCTGCCTAACCAGTGCCCAGGGGTGGGCGAGCATGGCATTCCTAACTGCCATCCTTTCCTGTAAGGAGACACTCTCCACCTGTGTGGAGCAGCCAGGCTCCCGGCCCAAGCGGGGATTGCAGGCTGTGATGGTATCAGCTTTGTCTTGCAGTGCCAGTGGGGTGGAGGCAGTGAAGATCGAGGAGATGGAGAAGATGCTGAAAGAGGCCCATGCAGAGAAATCTCGCCTGATGGAGTCACGGGTGAGTGGGTCTGTATGCCAATGCTAGGGAGCTACACTCAGAGCATTCTCACCCTCTTGTTTATGGGGACGCGGAAGCTTGCAGGGAGAGGGGATCCAGTCTCCAGGGCTGCCAGCCATCCACTGTCACACCCACAAATCCTGCGTCATTGAGTAGTGCCTCTGGAAGCTAGTGCCGGGCATGGGGTAGGCAGGGCAGAGAGGGGATCTTGCCATGTCCTTTACTTGGCAGGAGCGGGAGATGGAGCTGCGGCGACAGGCCCTGGAGGATGAGCGCAGGCGGCGGGAGCAGCTGGAGCGGAGGCTGCAGGATGAGACGGCTCATCGGCAGAAGCTGATTGAGAAGGAGGTCAAGATGCGAGAGAAGCACTTCTCCCAGGTGAGGGGGGGATGTGGAGGAGGGCTGAGCAGGGGATGAGGAGGCAGTCCTTTTCCCATCTCTCTGGTGTTAATGAGGCTGCATGGTGCCGTTTCAGCCATAGACCTAGCATTCATGAATGCGTGGAAGGTGCCACCTGTCATGCAGTTCTCTTGGGTCTGATGTTGGAGCATCTGGGGCTGAGGGGTAGGGACAGGATCAAGGTCTCTTGTCCCCTTTTGAGACTTAAGAGGGTGACACATCTGGTGGCAGCATCTTGGATGCTAGGAGTGCCATGGGGCCTGTGTTGGCTAAGTGCTCAACTCTCCCACTTCCTTTACTCTCAAGGGCGGCGACTGCCATTGGGGTGGCACTGACGAGGCTGCGTTGCTTCTCCAGGCACGGCCCCTGACCAGGTATCTCCCCATCCGCAAGGAGGATTTCGACTTGAAGACACACATTGAGTCCTCAGGCCACAATGTGGACACCTGCTATCATGTCATCCTGACCGAGAAGATGTGCAAGGGCTATCTGGTCAAGATGGGTGGCAAGATCAAATCCTGGAAGAAGCGTTGGTTCGTCTTCGACCGTATGAAACGCACAGTCTCCTACTACGTCGGTAAGAGCACCCCACTGCTGCCCGACTGCTCTCCAGTCTCTATACAAATACTCCACCCCACCCACCCGCCACCAGTGGTGTATTTAACCCTCAGAAGGACTCATCACATTCATGTCACTGACAGGGTGTCAGGACTCTCTTCTGCTGTGGCTGCCAGAATCCCTGGCTCTAGCTAACCCATGTGGTGTCTGGCTCAGTTCCAGCTGGGAGCCAGCCTCCACCCTCATCTTGCTGCCTCCTCCTCTGTGAAGCCTGGTGCTTACAATGCCTTGCCTTTCTCTCTCATGCAGATAAACATGAGACGAAGCTCAAGGGAGTGATCTATTTCCAAGCCATAGAGGAGGTTTATTATGACCATCTCCGCAGTGCTGCTAAGGTGAGGCCTGGGTCCTGCCCTTGGTGTGGGCTGGGGGAGGGGATGGGCTGGCTGGTTAATGGTGTCCCAGGACGGGGGTCCTCTAAAATGCAATGGTGCAAGCACCGCAAGAAGCAACATTCTGGGGCAACAGGACCCCATGATGAAGCCCATTTGCATCACAATGCCCACCCCAGTGATAAGTCACAGCAGTGTGATGTGTCGTGGGCCCCTGGGAGCCACAGATGTCCCACAAACCCCAGACTCACCCCATTGTAGCCAGCAGGGCCCAGGCCCTTGGCACTAGATGTGCGGCTCTGGGCCAACAGGACAGTTGCAGAGCCTGTGCTCTAGAGCCCCTCTCCCACCCCCAGGGATGGGTGGGATTAGTTACTGCCAAAGCTTCCTGGAGTCCAAATCAGGTTGTGGCCAGTGGCCCAGACGCCAGAAATAGCCTTAGTGCTGCCCATTGTCCAGGTCACTGCTGCTCTCTCCATCCAGGGGTGGGTGACTCTGCCAGAGGTTCAGCTAGCATGGGGTCTAGACATGTCTGAGAAGGGGTGTTACCTCCCGGCATGTGAAGGCCTGTGCTGGGGCAGCTTGCCCAGCACTGTGCGCTGAATCCTCTAGTACAGCCTGAGCCATCTCCCTCCTATCTGCGGGGGTAACTCCAGCAAGCACTCCCTGTCTGTCTGCTGGGAGATAATAAATCGAGCATGTGGGCACAGTTAAATGTCTGACAGACAGTACGATGCCAGCACTTGAGCTGCTAGCATGTCCCTGGACATTGCAGAGTCTTGGCCCTCCAGGAATGAGTGGGCAACAGGCCAAACTACCTCTGGGACCTCGTTTCCTGCAGCTTTCCCCAGAGCAATACTACCGTCTGGAGACCTCTGCATGCACAGGCCGTCCTCACAAATCCTACTGCATAGAAAGCCGGGCAAGTGTAACAGTATCTGAACCCAGGGCAGGCTGAGCTCTTTGTCTATTTCTCTCTTTTTCCCCCCCTCCTCCTTCCTATCCAGAAAGGACTTTTCAACCTCAGCCTAGCAAATGTATGTATCCCGCCCTCTGCTGTGCCAAGCACTAACCCTGCTTTCACAACGGGTTCCCTTTAACCCTTTACTGCCAGGAGTGCTCTAACCTGCGCTGTGTTGGTACTAACAGCAGAACCCTCAGGCTGCTAGTCCTGGGACCAGGGAACCCTGGGGTTCAGGTGCAACCAGAACCAGCCTTGTTCCTTCAGAAAGCCCATGCGCTCAGCCACCTGTCTCTCTAACCTAACCACACCAGCGCCCCCCCCCGCTCACTTCCATCCCCAAACCCCTCTTCCTGGGGGATGGTGCCTTGAGGCAATAAAGTGGCTGCAAGTGACCTTGGAGTCCCTGGGGAGTGATGATGCAGACTTTGCACGGGTGAAGGCCCTTTCCATTCCTGGAACCTTGGAGCAGCTAGCAATGCTCCATCAGCACTGAACAAGCTGCCAGGCACCAGCCCCTGAGGTGCACAACAGCTGGTCCCCCCTCACCATGAACATAGCTGAGCTCTGGGGCCCCCAGTGACTGGACGAGCAAGGGCCAAACTCAGTGTGTTTTTAACACGTGACTTTCACCTGAGGGGAGAAATTTCTCAGTTTAAAACCAAAGTTGTGAAAGCTGCTACTGGCAGGGTGGTGAAGCAGGGCTGCACTGAGCTCTCTGTTAAGCCCACCCATTATAGTTTTGCTGGCTGGCTTTAAAATTAGTAACAAGTGTGGAAAAATAGCTACCAGTGTCCACCTCTGAATTCCAGCAGCCTTCACCTGGCGCCAAAGGAGAAATTTCAGCTAGAATCTGCTATGGGGAAATGAGGAAAACAGATGTAGAAGTATCTGGAAGCACGTCGCGGGGGGCAGTAGCAAGAGCCAGCATAATTCTATCTGAAGATAATGCAGCCTGCTGCAAGTACAGGAGAGTGGAACCACCTTGACCCCTTGAAGGTGAAGAAGCTGCCACTGCTGTTGGGCTGAAGAGAAGGTAGTGTGACTCCAGGAGCAGGCAGGACTAGGCCCTGAGCCGCCTGCCAGCGGAGTTGATTGAAAAGTCTTGTTGGCCTTTGACAGAGCTGGAGAGTCCCATATGCTGCAGAAGGGGAACATCTCTTTACTTTGCACTGAGCTGTAATTCCATGCTAGCAGCATGGGGGGAACTCTTTTCAGCACTGTCTTCCCTGGGGCTGCCTATGGCTGCAGTGGGAGTGTGGCTGACTTCGACAGCTTTCTGAATGAAATGAGAGTGACTTTTCAGACCTCTGGTATAGTGGAGCAGGGTTCAGATACTCAAGGCTGGGGTCACAGAAGAATCACATCCAAGCCTGAGGGACAACCATCAGGCCCTTGCATCGCTGTGAAACACTCAGACCCTGAAATCCCACAGGGCTGGCTCCAGGTCTTCATTCTTCTGAGGCCACTGTACTGAGTTGCAGGCGGGTCACTCCATGGGGGTGTGTCTTGGATGAGAACTTGAAGCCCAAGGGCCATTTCATTCTGCCTGGACCTCCATCTGCAAACATCGCGCCTACAGTTTCTGCCTTCTTATCTCTGCCTCATTGCAGAGAGCAAGGGAAATTGGCAGGGATGAGCACAGAAGACAGCAGAGCCATGTCTGAGGAGAGCATGGTGGCAAGGAACTGCTAGGGCAACAACCCAGAGGAAAATGGACGTCCCTGCTTCTCCTTGGGAAGCCTGAATAGCATTTCCCTAGCTGGAGAAGACAAGACTGGGGAGGTGGTGATAAGAACTGTCTGGTGAAAGGAGGTGGGGCTCTCACCTGGAGCCCAAGGAAGGAAGTCAAACGGAGGGAGACAGAGTTTGAACCCAGGAGTTCACTACAGCCTGCCTAGGCTCGGGGCTTACCAGAATGGCCTGTGCTTCAGGTCTCTGTGCTGCCTAGGCGGAGTTCCAGCTGACTAATCAAGCCAACTATTTGGACTCTATGGGAGTGTCAATGCAAATGCTTGGCGAGGTACGTTCATCCCTGAGGAGCTGACGAGTCTCTGGCAGGGCTCTGCCTTGGGTGAACTCACTGAACAGAGCTCAAGGGGTGAGGCAGGAGTGCTGCAGGCCCACAGGTTCAGCCTAAGGAGGCGGTGAAACTGTGGCTTACCCTAGCAGGAGAGTGAGTCTGACACACTGAAGGGGTTCTTCCTAGAGTCCATTCCAAAGGTGAGGCCGTAGCACTGATCCTATGGATCTGTGACCCCTTTACCCAGCGGTTACGGTGCTCATCTGTGATGGGGGGACCCTGCTTCAATATCCCCCTCTGCCTGGTTAGGAGAAGGGATGTGAAGGGGGACTGCCCAGGTGAGTGCTCTAAGCTATGGGCCACAGAAATGTGGGAGACCTCCCTCATGCTTGCCTCTTGAAGCTGTTCTACTTGGCTTAACTATTTTCTGGGCCAGCCTATTGGAAAGACTCCCTCTATAGTCTGGTGATTAACCTCTGTGCCTGGCGTGTGGGAGCTGCTGGTTCAAGTCCCCCATTGGCCTGTGGAGAGAGCTCTCCACTAGCCCAGATATGGGCTTTGGTCGTTGGTGTATGTAGTGCTCATGGGCCTCCTGACTCTTGCCTCTTGAAGTTGTTCCACTTGATTTAACTATTCTTCGGGCCAGGCCAAAAGCCAGAGTCACTCTTTAGTCCAGTGGTTAGGGTACTAGCTTGGGTTGTTGGAGAGCCTGGTTCAAATGTTCAGCAGGAGTTTGCACAGGGATTTCCTGCCTCCTCAGTGATTGCCCTTTGGGGTGGAACATCCATGTCTGAACCCCCTCCCTTTCTCAGGAGGCCATTGTCACCTTGGGACAGGGAGGGGATTCAGACAGGGCTTGCCCATCTCTGACTCTCCCTGAGAGGTGCAAGATCCCAGTTCACACCCCTCAGCAGAGAAGGGGAGTGACCTGGGGTCTGCCACAGCCTGGGTGGCTAGCCTCTGGGGACAAAAGAGTGATTTGGGTCTTTTGTATGGCCACCATTACTCATTAATTAAACCAGCAAGAGCTGTTCTGTATAGTCCATTGCCAATTTACAAGGGCCTGCACCTCAGGCACCAGACCCTCTCCACTGAGGCAGACAGAGAATTTGAACCAGGGTCACTCACATCCCAGAGAAGTGCTCTAACCCCCCATACCATCAAGAGCCGTGGAGGCAGACTTTGGCCCATTTATTATGTAGTTAAAGTGGACCAGTGTCAATAGAAAAGACTGAGGGAACCCTATGTCAGAATACCTCCCAGGTTGGCACTTAGGCCCTTCACTTGAGAGGTAAGGGAGCCTGCTTCAAATCCCATCTCAACCAGCACAAAAGGGATTTGAACCAGCAATTCACGCCCCCGGCTGGGGAAAGTACCCCAACCACTGGAGTACAGCAGGATTCAATGTAGGTTCTAGCCCAATTACTGTTGAGTAGGGCTGTCAATTAATTGTAGTTAACTCACATGATTAACTCAAAAAAATTGCAATTTAAAAAAATTAATTGCGATTAATTGCACTTAATACCAATTTAAATTTATTAAATATTTTTGGATGTTTCTACGTTTTCAGTATTGATTTCAATTACAACACAGAATACAATGTGCACAGTGCTCACTTTATATTATTTTTTATTACAAATATATGTACTGTAAAAATGATTTTAAATAATAGTATTTTTCAATTCATCTCATACAAGTACTGTAGTGCAATCTCTTTATTGTGAAAGTGTAATAAATGTAGATTTTTTTGGGGGGGTTACATAACTGCACTCAAAAACAAAACAGTGTAAAACTTTAGAGTCTACAAGTCTACTCAGTCCTACTTCTTATTCAGCCAATCGCTAAGACAAACAAGTTTGTTTACATTGATGGGAGATACTGCTGCCTGCTTCTTATTTATAACATCACCTGAAAGTGAGAACAGGCGTTCATTTGCATGGCACTTTTGTAGCTGGTGTTGCAAGGTATTTACATACCAGATAGGCTAAACATTTGTATGCCCGTTCATGCTTCGGCTACCATTCCAGAGGACATGCTTCCATGCTGATGATGCTCGTTAAAAAAAATAATGCATCAATTAAATTTATGACTGTACTCCTTGGGGGGAGAATTGTATGTCTCCTGCTCTGTTTTACCTGCATTCTGCATATATTTTATAGCAGTCTCGGATGATGACCCAGCACATGTTCATTTTAAGAACAATTCCACAGCAGATTCGATAAAAAACACAAAGAAGGTACCAATGTGAGATTTCTAAAAATAGCTATAGCACTCAACCCAAGATTTAAGAATCTGAAGTGCCGTCCAAAATCTGAAAGGGACGAGGCATGGAGCATGCTGTTAGAAGTCTTAAAAGAGCAACGCTCTGATGCGGAAACTACAGAACCCACACCCCAAAAAAGAAAATCAACCTTCTGCTGGTGGCACCTGACTCAGAGGATGAAAATGAACATGCGTCAGTCCACACTGCTTTGGATTGTTATCAAGCAGAACCCATCATTAGCATGTCCTCTGGAATGGTGGTTGAAGCATGAAGGGACATATGAATCTTTACCGCATCTGGCACATAAATATCTTGCAATGCCAGCTACAACAGTGCCATGCGAATGCCTGTTCTCACTTTCAGGTGACATTGTAAACAAGAAGCAGGCATCATTATCTCCTGCAAATTGTAACCAACCTTGTTTGTCTGAGTGATTGGCTGACCAAGAAGTAGGACTGAGTGGATTTGTAGGCTCTAAAGTTTTAGATTTTATTTTTAATGCAGATTTTTTTTTTACATAATTCTACAGTTGTAAGTTCAACTTTCATGATAAAGAGATTGCACTACAGTTCTTGAGGTGAATTGAAAATACAATTTTTGTTTTTTACAGTGCAAATACTTGTAATAAAAAAAAATAAAGTGAGCACCGTACACTTTGTATTCTGTGTTGTAATTGAAATTAATACACCTCTACCCCGATATAACACGGTAAAGCAGCGCTCTGGGGGGCGGGGCTGCACGCTCCGGCGGATCAATGCAAGTTCGATACAACGCGGTCTCACATATAACACAGTAAGATTTTTTTGGCTCTTGAGGACAGCGTTATATTGGGGTAGAGGTGTATACTTGAAAATGTAGTAAACATCCAAAAATATTTAAAATAAATGGTCATCTATTGTTTAATTTTTTTAATCGCTTGACAGCCCTACTATTGAGTTATTTAATGAAGATGGACCAGCTTCAATAGGAAAGAGTGAGGGCCCTCCCTCCTCCATTGGAATACCACCTAGTCCTACACTTAGGCCATTCACTTAAGAAGTAAAAGGTTCAAATGCTAACGCTTGTGCCTAATAGAGTGCTTTCCCTGCCCTAATGGAGCCAACTGATTTGCTGAATGCTGCCTAGGGTGCATTGGGGAGAGGGTTTCAGTCGCTGCAACAGATGCTCCAATGGGAGCAAGGCTACAGAACTGTTCTAATTGCATTTGTCTTTATTTTCTTCTAGCAACTAGCAGATATTCTCCCCATTCACTTCCGAAGAGAGGTTTGTCTCAATGCACTTGTCTCTCTGCCTCTCATTCTCTTCTCTTGTTTTGTGGGGTGGGGTGACCTTGCCTGACTGGTTGGGTCCCCAGCCTATTTGTAGCAGTTTGCATGCTCACTTGTTTTTAACTAGCAATGCACTCTGCAATGGGCTCTATTCTGTATTGCACTTGGCGTTTCTGGACCAGCAGCCTAAGGCTCCTTCCCTCTGCCTCCGAGCCTCACCCCCTCTCTGCAGTGGGGTTGGGGGTTCCTTTACAAGATTGACTAGGGGTGGACTGTATTGATCATGCTCACCATACACTCAGAGTGCTTTAGGCCTGCTCCTAGGATAGATGGATAGATAGGGGAAGGTTTCCCTTCAACTTCGATAAGAGTAGCATCACTCTTACTGTACTGTACTTTAAAAAAAAAAAAAAAAAAAAAAAAAAAAACTAGGATGAACGAGCATCCCTTGCATTTGCCATTGGGGTTTCATGCAGGGGAGATCAAAGTGCTGGTTGGAACCACAAGCACTTAGGGGCTGTGAGAGGGCTGGGCTGAGCAAGATGGGGAGAGAATTTTAGGGGGCTGGACTCTGGGTTGCAGAAATGGAGGAGAGCGGGAAGTATCCCCACCTCCTTTGACCTCTGTGGACCAGGTCCAGCAAAGTGCCACATATCTGTCTCCTACTGACTCCATGCAGATGCCAGATTCACAGATGCCAGACCTGCAGCTCCTTTCTGCCCTTGGTAAGGGTCATGTGCCAAGGTCTGAGCCTCTTTTATACTGCCATTCTGTGCTGGCCTCAGCCTGGGGGTTAATCTGTGCATGCCGATTGGCTGCTCAGGAATGTGCTGTGTGATTGGTCTGATTCTAGGAGCACCACCCTGCCTGAGTGGATGGCTTACTTACCGGATTTGTAGGAAGAATGTATTATCAGCTGGGAAGTCAAGGCACAGAGCTGATCTGACTTGGCTATGGCCATGTTTGCACTAGGAGAGCCAGGGACAGACCCCCCAGGGTCCTGACTCTTTTCAGTATGTCGCAGTGGCTCTCAGATTGGCTGGCTGGTAAACACAGTAGTGGAACCTTTAATCCTGTGTAAGCTCCATCCTCCACAACCCTGGTGTCCTCAGTGCTGTTCTGGTCTGACAACACAGTTGGATTGGAATGATGAGTCAATCCAGTAGCTTCAGCTTTTGGGTTTCTCTCCATGTGCTGGGAGATCTCTACCCTGTTGCAGCCATTCCTCCTCCAGGGCTGTGGCTGCAGATCTCAAGTGCCTGGAGTGCCATCATCTCAGGACATCCTATACTTCCTCTTCCTCTTCTCCATTCATTCAAGCTGCTACCTCATTCTTCAGGCCAAATCCTGCTTTCATTGACGTCAGTGTAGGCAGGTTGGCACTAGGGGCTGCCCCCACTCTGCCCAGCAGACATGTCTTCCTCTCTCTAGGATTGGTGGAGTTGGGCAACAACATGACAGGCAGCTGTAGTCTTGAGCCTCTGACCTAGCCTTGTTCAGGCAGTAGTCGGCTTGATTGTTGCTCTCTGCTCTTATGCAAATATTCAAGTCCCCAGCACTGTTCCATGATGGTGATGCTTTGTCTGGTCCTGCACTGGTAGCCCAGCAGCTTTCTGTGCCTCACAGGGCTTTGGCACAAAGATAAAGGACAAATGTGCCTTCCTGCACACTTACTGCCTCACTAGGGCCCATTTACCAAAGGAGCTGCAAATGCTCAGCACGGGGCTGAATCTCAGCACTGCTCTTTCCCTCTCCCCCCCGGGAGCACTAGCTGTAGTTGGAAAAGTCCTCAACAGGCCTTAGGCTGCTGTTGGTGTGTGTGGGGAATCGGGTCTATCAGTGGGGGGAAGAGCTGGCTCCGTAGTTACTGCAGGAACAAGCTCCCCATGTTTTTCTCTCCCCTCTGCAGAGTCCCAACCCAGCTCTTACCTTCTGCGTCAAGACCCACGACCGCCTCTATTACATGGTGGCACCATCAGCTGAGGCCATGAGGATCTGGATGGATGTAATTGTGACTGGGGCAGAGGGCTACACCCAGTTCATGAATTGATGGGGACCAGGAGTGCTTAAGGTGGAGCTGTTCCAGACCTGCCTTCTCTTCTTCTCCCAGATGGATTTGCCATTGACAGTGCCAAGATGAGCTGGAGGCCCCACCACCACCTGGATACAGCAGACAGCCATTTCCCTGCCACCTGGGGTGTTTAGCCCGCAGCAAGAAGATCATGAATACAGGGGAGCTGCCTCCTATGCAGATATTGGCTGTATCATGCGCTTTGGGCCCTGGTTGGTTAAACCTCCCTGCTGACTAGAGGGGCCTGACCCCAGGCCCAGCACTCTTGCCGTCTTGCCCTTTTCCCAAGAGAGCTTTGGGATGTTATTTGAATAAATGTGGGGTGGTGGGTTTTTTTTTGGGGGGGGGGAGGAGAGAGATGTTAAAAAAAATAGGAAAAATCAACCCTGTAAAGCCATGATTTTGTTACAGAATCCTTATTTTTTCATATTGTAGCCATTCCTTGTGGAATAGTGGAATCGCTGTTGCGTTTCTCCTTCCGCCTGCACCAAATGCCCTGCGCTTTCTCTTAAATGCAGTGTGGGTGATAAGAGTGATGGCACGTGCCTAGCTAGTGCCCAGGCGTGGTGTAATTGCTCTCACATGGAACAGAGAGGTGTTAAGCAAGGCTGGGACAGAGTCCTAGCCAAGAGGGGTTTTTTTTATATGTGTAACAGTACAGAACAGACTTTTTTATTCTTCGATGGAAACATATCAATGGGCTGAAAGGTACAAAGCCGAAGAGCTGCCAAAGACCATCCCACCGGTTCCCGTGCAAACTAGGCCTAAAGCTGTTGGATTAAGGAACTAAACTCTCTCAATACTGCCACTTTTTTAAACTGGAGCTTGTTGGGCATCACTATGACAACTGCATCTA